TGGTACTCTCTGCTTTGCCATGGGACTCTTGGATCCCCACCCCACCACCCCCAGACCTTGGCCTCCTCCTGCCCTCCATCCCTTTGACTTCGCACACATACCTCCCCCGTCTAAGTCCCACTCTTACTGGGTGGGCTCTGCTTTCTGAGCATCCGTGTGGGGTCAGAGGCTGAAGAAGGCAAAGTGGAGCTCAGGATGGGGTCCTAGTGAGGGGATGCAGACTGAGCCATACTATGTAGGGAAAAGCAGGTGCCAGCGCAAGCATCTTACCGTCCTGGTCTCAGAAAGGTGCTCCTGGCCTGGCTCCCACGGCAACACGACAGCTGCCTTGCTCTGTGCCTAGGAGCCCACAGATGTAGAAATTTGCTTGCTTGTTTGTTTTGAGACAGGGTCTCCCTGTAGCCCCAGCTGTCTTGGAACTTGCTGCTGTATAGACCACGCTGGCCTTGAACTCACAGAGATCTGCCTGCCTCTGCCTCCCAAGTGCTGGGATTAAAGGCGTGTGCCACCACACCTGGCTTCAGAGATTTGTTTTTAAAAGCTGCAAGTTTTTGCTGCTCCTTGGAGGTCAGACATGGCAACTAGCCCCAACTCACACCTGTACTGGGGTTGCCAAAGGGCCTGGTGTCATGGGGTATGGACTAGAGACTGTGGCATTTGATGGGTGGGGTCTTAGAGGACCAGGACTAGGGGTGGACAGAGTGCTGTGACAGTAGAGCAGGGGGCAATAGGCTGAGGCCAGGTGGACACATGGAGGTAGGAAGAAGGTGATTCTGGTATAGCCTAGAACGTGGGCAATGCCTGCTCAGTGGGGCCAGCTTCAACTCCACTGTTCGGGGCTTTGCTGGAGGGCTCTTCCTTCCAGGAGCATTGGCAGGCCTGTGGGTACACTGAGGCCTAGCACTACTCCCTGGTCACTCAAGGCCTTGACCCCACAGTCCTCCCTCCACAGCCAGGGATGTCATTGTACCTGTGGGGTCACAGTGTAGTCAAGGGAAGCTGGACGAGCCCATGATGTCAAGCAAGTATACAGGCCTGGCCAGCCTCTGAGGCCATGACCCTAAGTGCCCTGAGAGGGTTTCTGGGCCTGGGCTGGACAGAGTCTGGGGGGATGTTTGTCTGTTCTTCCCACCAGGTAAGGACAGAGACCCTAGCAAAGGAACTAGAACTGGCCCTCTAGATGAGCCTGGTGCCCTGGCTGAGTCCCCCTCCCTCAGGGAAGGTGGGAAATGGGAACACCAGCATCTCTGTCATGTTCTTCAAGCGGAGACTGGTCCTGTGTTGCCTCTGCCTCCTGCCTCCCGGGCAGGGGTGAAGGCCCTGTGACTGGGACCCAGAGAAACTTAGGTTGGCAGGAGGCTGTCACGAAGTGTACCTCATGAGCTCAAGAGCCTGGGCTGGCTCTGCATGATGGGGACAGCAGGGAGGACAAGACTAAAGCAGGGAAGGCTTAGGCCTGGTGTGCACCTGCCTGCATGTTCTAGGAAGGCAAGGGCCAATCAATAGCATCATGTGCTGGTGTCCAGCATGACAGCTGCTTACCACCTCTGACGTCACCCTGGGCTCCCATGGCCCATCACAGAGGAAGCCAGGCCTTTTAGACACTGTCCTATCCCTACCCCTGGAGGGTGGCCTCAGTCCAAAGACCCCATCCCTGCTGTGAAGGGAGTGCTGGTATGACGGCAGAATGATGTTCATAGGGCCCTCTTCGAATGTGTCCTGGGGCTGTGCCCAAGAGCCATGGTGATGACTACTGCCTATTGGCAGCTCTGCCTGGCTGTCCTGTCACTCCCTTTACTTGCAGGAGACATTTCTTAAGCTCAGAGCATGGAGACGGTTTGACAGCTTGGCCCCCACCAGCCCCATGCTATATAGTCTTGGCCCTCAAGACAAGGTACATAGGAGGCAGAAATCAGCTCGGTAGTCCCGAGGAAACCTGCCCTTTAAGAACACTAGAGGCCTTGACCCGGGTAGGGTTGGTGCTAGGCTTGGGCTCTCATGTGATTGGACATGCCTGGCATTACATTCCAGGTGGGTCTCTGTCTGAATGAGTGAGCTCAGCACACACAAGTAGTCAAGGAATCTGAGAATTGCTGAGGACGGAGTGGATGTGTCCTAGGATGCCGTGCTGAGGACGGAGTGGACGTGTCCTGAAGACACCAGCAGAGCCCCTCCTTGGGCTTGTCCCTGTCCACAGCTTCTGGAAAGGATGGTGGCCACACTGCTGGGCTGCTGGGCCCAGAAGCTCATGCCACTTTCTGTGTGGTGTATCCGCACCCATGCTTCAGCCCTGACAGGAGTTCTAGGACTGGGCTGAGCCCTGCCCTGTCCCTGCCTGGCTCTTGCTGCTTTTGGCCCTGCCCTGAAGGCTGAGCACATGTCGCCTTTTAAGGCTGAGCTCTGCCATGAGAAGCTGAACGGAAAACATTTCCCTGGCATTTGGGGAGCATTTTTCTTTCCTCTTTCTTTTAAATAAACCATCAGCAACTTTTCAAAGCACAAGAAAGGAAAAAATAGGTCACAGTCAGAGTTAGAAAGACCTTTCACCCCACCCCACCCCCACCCTCACCCCCACGTGGCCTCCCAAGGTTGTGGAGGACAGGGACACAGCCAGGCCAGGCTGCCTCCCGGCACCATGCCCTGTAGCTTATCTGCATACTCAGGTTAGGAAGGCCGATACCTAGCCAATGCCCTGGCCTGAGGCCTACGCTGTACCATCCTGATAGCCAGGCCTCACTTGGAGTAGGCATAGGGGGCTGAGCAAGGCACTAACACAGACCCCCCCCCCACCCGTTTGGGAGGAGGTTTGGCCCTGGCAGTCGTGACTTTTGTGCAGTCCTTCTCCTGCAGGGTGCTCCAGCTTCCTCTCACCCCTGTGGAGCAGGGTGGGTGCTCCTAAGGAGGCTGTTTCTGAGACAGGATTCCTGTGCCTGGATCTGTGCTGCCTTCACTTTCCTGGTCTGTTGTGACCCCTGTAGTAGGTTCTATGCAGTCCTGTGCTCCTGGCAGTGGCTGGCCTCACCGGAAGAGGGTCTGCCTTTGATTCGCCCACTGTGCATCCCCTCTCAGCCTGCTGCAGAAGCTCTTCTTGAGCGTTTCTAGTCAGAAGCGACTGTTTCTGGTCACGAGACTTCTTGCCAGTATAGATTTTGCATCTTATATATATATATATTTTTTTTTTTGGCCTTTTTGAGACAGGGTCTCCCTGTAGCCCCAGCTGTCCTGGAACTCACTATGTAGACCAGGCTGGCCTGGAACTCACAGAGATCCGCCTGCCTCTGCCTCCTGAGTGCTGGGATTAAAGGCGTGCGCCACCACGCCCGGCTTGCATCTTATATTTTTTAAGTATTTAATTTTTATTTATTTATTTTGGTCTTTTTAAGACAGGGTCTCCTTGTAGCCCCAGCTGGCCTGGAACTTACTATGTAGGCTGGCCTCAAACTCACAGAGATCCGCCTGCCTCTGCCCCCCAAGTGCTGGGTTTATTAAAGGTGTGCACCACTACACCCAGCTTACGTCTTACATTTTAGTCCTAATGTTTACTGTTGAAGAGATTAGTTGTTAAATTTGAACAGGAGGCTCACCTCTCCTGTGGGAATATTTACCATCAGACTCCTCAGGACCCTCATCCTGAGCTTCATATCAGACAGCGCTCCATGTGGGTGCCCACTGGCAGTTCAGGGGTTGGTGGAGACTTCCTTGCACCACATACTGTGTGGTCAGTGCCCAGAAGTGCCTGTCTGTTGTCCAGCTGGCCTGACGTGGGCACAGAAGCAGCCTCTTCAGGCCTTCACCTGATCACCCTGAGGAAGGAGCCCACTGGCCAGACTTCTGACTGGCACAGACTTAGCCATATGTATGACAGGGACAGAGACATTGGCAATCTCGTCTATCCTGGCTTGACTAGTAGCCCTTCGAGAACTTGGGCCAAGCTTTCACTGCCTGTGGGGACTGTAGTTCTCTCTGGGGACACACCCAGCTCACTGCCCTGCCTGGGAGACTGTTCACTAAGGGCTACAGGCTCACGGGCTCAGTGCTGCCACCAGCATTGGGGGAGCAACTACCTATGGGTGGGATCAGTGTGTGCTGCTTTAGGGGTACTATTTGAGTGAACATAAGGCATTTAAAAGGCATGCATTTCCTGTTTAAAATAAGCATAGTAAGTCCCACTGTGTGTTAACAAAGCAACACAACTATATTAAAACAAGGTGGAAGTTTAAGAGTCCTGTGTCGTCTGGCTGGGTTCTTACTCTGCCTCTGCTTCCCTGGGACCTGGTGGAGGAGGTCCTGGTGCTGTGGCAGAGCCTCACCTTAGGTGTTTCCTTTGCGTTCACTCCATGCAGGGTGACAAGGTGAGTGCCCCTCCCGGGCATAGCTAATCCAGCAAGGGGAGTGTGCCGCTCAGTGGTAGAGCATGTCAACAGGACCTGTGGGAGCAGCCAGCCCTCAGCTGGCCAGCCTTGGACTATTGGGGAGAGCATCCTGTGTTTGGGGGTGTGGGTTTGCAACCTAGTACCTCCCAAGGTTGTCCTTGCCCTGAAGTGTTGATGGGCGCCATGCACTCTCCTGAAGCTGGACCACCTGGAAGGTGGAGCCTCATCCTGGGCTTGCATGCAGCCTGCAGGACTCTGCTGGGGCCCCCAGGAGAGCGGCTTTGTTCCAGGATTTACACTTCAAGCACAGGTGTTGACCCCTGTTGTCCGCCCATGTAGCAGCACGGTCCAGTGTTAAGCAGGCTGTCTGTAGGGTCATGGCTGAGGAGGCCCACGCTAGTGTGGCCACCACCCACCTGCCTTGGGCTCTAGGCTCCAACCACCCAGAGGCTACTGCCTCTGCCCAGAATAGTCTGGGCCCTGGCTGGGGCAGGATTCACTTGAGGATTTTTGGTGGCCCCTCTTCTTGCTTGCATCTGATACAGCCCAGCAGGCCAGGCCCTCTGAGGCCTGGTATGGTCTGGCCCCAACTGCATGTGGTGACCACTCTGTCCCTTCTCTTGACAGGAAGTCTAAAGCCAAGCCAAACGGCAAGAAACCCGCTGCAGAGGAGAAGAAGGCGTACCTGGACCCCGAGCACACCAAGTCGAGGATCACTGACTTTGAGTTCAAGGAGCTGGTGGTGCTGCCCCGGGAGATCGACCTCAACGAGTGGCTGGCCAGCAACAGTGCGTGAGAGCGGGGAGCCTCCCTCTTTTCTCTCTCCCCGTCTCCAGCTATCCCCCCCACCCCCCAAAGCAGTGCTCAGCAGCCTACCTGCCACCTGGGTGTGAAGTGGTCCCTGAAAGGAAAGGACCGTACTCAGCTGAGCCTGTGCCCTGTCAGGTGGCTGGAGCAGGGTTAAGTGCTCACCTGGCCCTTTGCTTCTCTTCCAGCAACAACATTTTTCCACCACATCAACCTGCAGTATAGCACAATCTCAGAATTTTGCACAGGAGAGACGTGTCAGACGATGGCCGTGTGCAACACGTGAGTAGCCGCCTGGCCACAGTGCCTGCTGGGAGGCATGGGATGGGCCCATGGTTCACCCTGCTGTCTGGGATGCCAGCTGCTCAGAGTCCTCTGGCCCCTGGGAGCCAGAAGCACTGCCTGAGTGCCTCTGACGGGGCACTGGGCTGCTCAGAGCCAGCAGAAGCGACAAGCAGACCATGCTCAGCTGCTCCCTGAGCCTGCAGAGCGCTCAGTCGGAGTTGCAGGGCTAGGTGAACAGGCTCATCATGCCAGCCGAGGGGCTGTATTGACAGCTTTTTGACAGATCTGGTGCTGGGTGCTCTCTTGGAAGCCCATAAACATTTAGTTTTGTAGAAGGCGGGTGTCCTGAGGGGCTTTAGGGGACCTACTTTGTGGGTGGGACCAGCAGCACTAGGTTAGTGGTAGGAGTGAACAGACTGCTGTCAGGGCTCAGCCTCAGTGGATGTGGCCTAGGGAGGCGGGAGCTCTTCCATGAAGGCTCTTTGCTGTCAAGATGCTGTGGACACATGGAAACAGGCATGTGCATTCAGTCCTCCCCATAGGCACCGCTCCCCAGACAGCCGAACTCTGCTCTGGAGAGCCTGCCATCCACCTCCGTGCAGCAGGTGCAGGAATCCCTTCTGCCGTAGTCAGCTGAGCTGGGTAGTCTTGCTAGGAACAAGCTTAACCTGTGTGGGACTGAGGTAGCCTCTGAGGGACAGGCCCATGGCAGATCGTGAGGGCAGCACTTGGGCACGTGCACAGCCTAGACAATGCCAACCAACCTGATGTCCTCCCTAGCTTCTTCCACATGCCCCAGTACTGGATTTGTTAGGAAGAAGCTTCCTTGAGAGCATAGGAGCTGTGAGGTGTTGGGCAGACCTGCATACGGATGTGGACCCTGCTGCGTCCCGTCCGTGATGGAGAGGGAGAGAGCTGAGCTGGGCTTTTGCCTACTTCGTGGGATCACTTTCTATGAATTGTTAACTCCTATAATCCCTTCCTAGGAATCATTTGAGAACAAGGGATGGAAACTTAAAATTAGTTTGAAAGGAAAAGGAAACTTAGCCAGGGTTCTACAGATCTTGCTGTTTACCAGTCCCGGAGGTTTACCTGGATTAGAGGAGGGCCCTCACTAGGCTAGGGCACATTTCTATCTCTCCTGTGCCTGTGGAATAATCCCCAAAGACCAGCATCCAAGGGAGTCAAGACATGTTCAGAAACATGGCCGAGTGTGTGTCAGAGATGGCCCTTTAGACTGGTAGAGCTGAGTGAGCCCTGGGGGACTATGAAACTCTATAGTCACCAGGCACAGTAAAGACCCCGTGGCAGCTGGGATGGTCCTGTGTGGCTGTCTGTCTGGTGCCAAAGAGGCATTATCCCATATTCCACATCCGGCAGTCATGTCCTTCAGGAACATGGGTGAATGGACCAGTGTGAGCTGGCTTGACCCACAGGAGAGTTCCAGTGAGGCTTCAGCTGCATGCCAGGTGAAGGAAGAGCCGCAGCAACAGCAGCAGCACAACCCTCCTGTGGAGCTCATGGAGATTTGTGGTTGTGTGAGAGTGAGCATAGAAATGAGGCATTCTGACACATTTTTGGGGTGCAGAGAAGGGGCATGTGAGCCATGATGGGGAGGGAAGGTGTCCACTCAGTGCTGCAGCTGACTGTCTAGCTGAAGACACATTTAGGTGCTAAGTCAAGCATGAAGAACCAAGTATGTGCTTTCCAGTCCTCTATGCAACCTGGAAAACTACACAAAGACAGAGTCGGGTCCTGGTGGGTAAACTGAAAACAGAACAGACCGAAAACCAACAGTGTGGTAAATGTCAACAATGCAAGCTGGGCACAGGGGTTTCCAAAAAGCATTCCATTTTGTTTGGGATCGATCGATCGATTGATTGAGGGTTCACAGTACAAGAGGGAAAAGACAAACTGGACGACAGTTGAAGTGTCCGTGTGCATAGCACAGAGGCTCGAGGTTTCCAACGGGTTTCCACAGGAGGTGGGCTGCGCCTGTGCCCCCCGGCTGTGCTGCAGGTGGTAGAACTTCACAGCAAGTTGCCAGCTGCAGGAGGAGGGGCAGGAACAGAGAAGGTGGGGACATGCCCCTGGCTGAGGTGACGTCTGAGAACATTCTAGCTCATAAAGGATGCTCCCAAAGTAGACCCCGTCCTGGGTTCAGAAGAGCCCTTGAGAGCTTTGGAAGATTGAAGTCACACTCCATAAACTGTGTGATCCTTGTGGAATTCAGCTGGAATCGGTGCTAGAAATAACAGGAACATCTCCAACACGTGGGGATCAGCACGCTCAAGTATCACAACTTGGAAAGAAATCACGAGGGACTGAGAAGCTGTTTTGGACCAAACACAAGTAAAAATGCAAGATATCGGAATTTGTGAGATAGAGCCGAATATAGTCGCGCCCATCTGTAACCCCAGACGTTGGGAGACTGAGGCAGAGGTATTGGAGGAGTCCAGGCCAAGAATGGGAGCCTCTCAGAAACAC